TTCTTTGCCCCACTGTAAAGACTAAAAGTTCATAAGAGGTCACCCATCCAAGCAAGCAGAATCTGGATATGCAATCTTTACCACAACTTTGTGAACCAAAAAGAGATAGACAACTGGTTCTCCCACACAGGAAGATAATTTGATATCTCTTTCAAAAAATGGGCAGCTGAATATGTCACCTACTCCTTGGGAAAAGATTTTCATTTCTGGTAGAAGATGCCTTAGCTGAATCAAACCACTGGTCTATCTAGCTCAGTAATGTTAGAATCAGGGCTTCAGAGAGCAGACTTTCTTAGCCTTATATTACTTTCAGCTGTGAGAAGGAGGAACTTAAACTGAACCTCATTCCCCAGGGGAACTGTTTGCAATGCTCCAGAATATATTGCTGCTCTTTCCCTGCCACTACTGTCAGACTACTAAGGAGCCACACATTTTAAACACTGAATTTTCACTATGTATTCAGTGCTGATGCTTTTAAAACTGTTGAAAATGTCACTACTACACTAATGATGCAAAATTAACACAGGAGAAACTTTAAATGTTTTACTGGTATAGGCTTTCATGGCCAGTATCTTTTGGGCAGTGTTGAGCTTCAGGGTTTAGTGACAATGGTCTAGACAACAGATTTCCTGACATTTTACTAGCATCTTCAGAGGCAAGGTGGCAACTGGGCAGAAACTGTCTGGGTTCCTGTCTTTATAGCCAGGTGACCTGACTTCTGATTGGTCTTTAGCTGAGCTGGTTTCCGATTGGTGCAGGTTGGTGGGGGCTGGTCTCTGATTGGTTCTTTCTTTGTGCCTGATCCTGATTGGTCGTTTTGGTGGGACTAGTACCTGATCGTTTTATTTCTGAAATGTGTTTTATTTCTGAAATGTGACATCAAGTAAATCACGTGATCATACCCTTTGGCTGAGCCTTACACTAATCTTGTTCTAACTAGTGTCTTGGGAAGAATAAGAAATTCTCCTTTGTATTTCACATCTATTCTGTATTACAGGCTTATTTTTATGTTGTCCTCCCAAATGTTCTCAAACCCTCTTATCAGAAAAAGAAATTTAAATCTAGATTATTCTAGGTTATCTTGTTGGCTACCTCATAAATTTAAGTAAAGTAAGCTGTTACACAAACATTTTATAAACATTTCTTTTCCCAAAGTATTAGCAAAAAATTGTCCCCCTCTCATTTTCATAAGAGGAGAATGCTTCTAGAAAACAGGGGAATGGATATTTTGACTCCACTCTACTACAGCATTAAATACAACAAAAGTATACATTGAATAGATACACACCTGGCCATCTGAATCAAAAGCCAAGCATGCAACTCCATGGGTGTGTGCATCTTTCAGTACAGAAACAGCCTGCATATTGTAGGTATCCCAGATGCAGATATAAGGGTCCTTGCCAACTTGCCCTGTAGCAACAAGGGTTTTATCGGGATGCAAAGCTAGGCTGGAAAAGAGTTCAAAGTCAAAGTTTGTTATCACAATTTTGGTTATGACAGAGAACATATATTAATATACAGATGTTCAGTGATACTTTTGGGGCTGTCTGCTAGTTAATAAACTAGTTTTCTGTCCACATGCATGCAAAAGTTGCAATTTTTCTTTGCCTTCTAAAGAATGTATTCCTGTACAAAGTTCAAACCATTTTCTTCCCTGCAGAGTTTTTGTTTTTCTTTTGCAACTAATATTTCATTTGCAACAGATTACTGTAACTTGCTCTACATGCTGCCCTTAAAGGCCATCCAAAAGCTTCAGCTTGTCCAGAATGCAGTGGCTGGTTGCTGCCTATAAAGCCCTATATGGTGCAAGATCTGTGTATCCTAGGGATTGCCTTTTCCTGTTAGTTTTTGTTTGTTCTATATGGATGACTAGGGAGTACCTACTGAGGTGGCATAATGGGAAGGGGCCTGATGGGGGTGTTCTCTGTAGCAGTTCCCTCCTTTCTAGTTTTTTACATTGGTCATCCAGATACGTTTAAGATGCTCACAGAGACATACCAATCTCCCAACCTTGGTAGCTGGTATTTGAAGGCAAGCTGCCCCTAAACCAGAGATAACATGAATCTCAAGACTGATAGGCCTCAAGGGACCTCTCCTCCATAAATGTATCTAACCTCCTTTTAAGGTCATCTACATTAATAGCCATCACCCCATCTTGTGGAAATTAATTTCACAGATTACTTATATATGATATGAAAAAATGCTTCCTTTCATCTGTTTTAAATCACCTTCCAATCATCTTCATTGGATGAAACTTGGTCCTAATATTTTGAGAAAGAGGAGAAAGAACTTCTTCTTGTCTACTTTCTCCAGGTCAAGTATGATTTTATACATCTTGATCATGTCCAAGCTAAGGAACAGGATACCAGTGTAGTGTAGTGGTTAAGGTGTTAGACTAGGACTGCGGAAAGCTAGTTCAAAACCACCCTCAGTTGTGAAAGCTCACTGGGTAACTTCAGGGCAACCAATCACTCTAAGTCCAACTGTAGTGGAGAAAAATTGGAGGCAGGAGTCCTATCTATGCTGCCTTGAGCTTCACGATGCATATCTAACAAATAAATACATAAACATTCTGGCCCTTTCTCCTCAGAGAAGTGTTTGAATCCCTTGATGATTTTGGTTGCCCTCATCTGCACTTTTTCCAGCTCTATTATATCCTTTTTGGTGTGACAACCAAATCTGGATCCATTTCAGTCTGTCTTCAGGTCAGGGAAATTAGATAGCATTGATCATACTTCTGGATGACCTGTGGTGGGATGGGAGTAGTGCATCCATTGTGTCCCTTCTTTATTTTTCAGCAGCCTTCAGTACCACTGATGATGTTATTTTTCTGGACTAGCTCAAGGGACTGGGAGGCAGAGTATTGCAGTGGTTCTCCTTCATTCTAGGCAATACCGGTCAGCATTAAGCAGGGGGTCCAGTTCTCAAACATTGCTTTGAGAGACTCAACTCTCTCCCTGCTCCTGTTTAACTACCTGAGGCTGCTGGATGAGGTTATTCATCAGTATGAGGTTAGGTATCATCAGTATCCTGATTATACATCTCAGGTCCTGATTGCCCAAATGATGGCATCAAGGTTCTGACTCAATGTTTGGAAGCTATGGGGGTCTGGATGGGGAGGAATAGACTCAGGCTCAACTCTCATAAGATCAAATGGCTGTGGATCTTGAGGGCTGGGGATCTTCTGGATTTGGAGATTTTCCATCTTTGCTTCTGAGTGGGGTTGCACTTCCCGAGTCAAACCTTGCATGCAAATTGGGGATCCTCCTAGACTCACAACTCCTGCTTAAAGAGCAGATGGGAGCCATTCCTTGGATGGACTTTACACAAATTCATTTTGAGCACCAATTGTGCCCATTTATGGATTGAGAGGCCCTACTCATGCCTTGGTTACCTCTCATTTAGGTTATTGCAACGTGCTTTGCCTGAGGCTGAAGACCACTCAGAAGTTACAGCTGGTCCAGAATGCAGTGACATGGGTAGTTATGGGCATACCTTGGCCGCTCATGCCATACTGCAATTTTGTGAGCAGCTTACCTTCCAAATGCAATTCAAGGTGCTGGTTATCACATTTAAAGTCATTCATGGCACAAGACCTAGTTATCTTCTTCTAAATTTCATTTAAACTTATATGAAAACGTTTAACTTTGTTGTGCTGATTTTGAGTTATATGCAGCATAAACACATAATGAATTCTTCGTTCTTCTAATTAAATGTGTGTCCTGTATCGACTTCCTGAGTGCAAACCAGGTTCTGGTCTGGTTTGCACTCTACATCTACTTATTTATAAGTGGAATATACAGTACTGTGCAAAAGTTTTAGGCAGGTGTGAAAAATGCTCTAAAGTAAGAACGCTTTCAAAAATATATATTGTAATTGTTTATGTTTATCAATTTACAAAA